TCTCCCCCCTCCCCACCGCAGGCCAGCCCCACACTGTAAATGAAAACCAGACTCCCTCTGTTGCTCCTGGCCCCTCCGAGGCTGATGTCACCCTCTGAACACAGTCCTCACCCGACAGCGTTCAGCTGGGCTCCTGCAAACCCCAACTCCTGAAAGAGAAATTCACCGCTTCTCCTAGTCACCTTTCGGGCCCGGCCCCCAGCCGCAAAGAGAATGAATTTTGGAATTTTTTCGTGGGTATCCATGGTTTTCCTGCCATGTTTTCCAACACCCAACCCCATCGGAAAGGCAAACAGGAAATGCAGGCACCCCCTCCACCCTCACCACGCCCGCCCCGTTTCTTCTTGAAGTTTCTGCATTGAGACGCCTCCTAGGAGCCTCCCCTTTCAAATAGTAAGGCCAGCAGGGAAGATCGCCCTGCTTTTCTGCAAACCGAAGCTCTGTTTGCCGGTAAAAAGGCAGGGAAAGGGGACTGCATCTTTTTTTTTTTTTTTACAGTTCTGTATGTAATGATTCTGATTGTGAGGGTTAGGACCCCATTCTGAGACCACCTGAGGGGACAGAGAGCAGATCTCTTGCTCAGAGTTTCAAGAAAATTCCCGAGAAAGAATTTGCGTTTCTACAGGGCTTTGCGGGGCTCACACACGTTGACACACTTTCCCCTTCACCGCAAACATCAGCGCCCCAAGCCCTTTGCAGTGGGTGGATGTGTCATTTTCTGCCAGGTGAGGTTATGGTCCCATTTTACAGATGAGAAAAACCTGGGTTAAGTAGCAGAGCTCAGAACCGAACCCTGGCCTCGGACACTCCCATGTTTCCCACGGCTCCCCTGTCACATGGCGCCTATGAAAATCTTAAGGTGAAGGGTTAAGAGGCACCTGAAGGTTACTTTGGCTTCGAGATCCTTCCAGAGCCAGGTTTGGGAGCAAGGACATCATGAGCTTCTTTCCATGGAGTGTCTCCTTCAAGTCCAGGGAGCGAGGGAGACAGCACCCAAGAGACCACGCCCACGCCCCTCCCGCAGCCCCAGGGCGCCCTCGGGCTCAGCTCGCAGAAGGTCAGGCTCAGACGGAGGTGGACGCCTGGATTGGGGCGGTTCCCTGTTCATCACCTGTGGATGGAGTAGGAACCACATTGTCTGTGTGATGTGCTGAAAGACGACATTTAAAATAACCGAGAGCCCTGGCCGGGTGGCTCGGTTGGCTGGACGCCTTCCCTGCACCAAAAGGTTGCTGGTTTGGTTCCTGGCCGGGGCACGTGCCGAACTGTGGGCTCGACCCCAGTAGGGGGCGTGCAGGAGGCAGACATCGATGCTCTGCTCTCACATGGGTGTTTCTTTCTCTCTCCCTTCCTCTCTCTAAAAGTCATTTAAACTATTTTTTTTTAAGTAGCTGAGAATACCTTCTTTGGTATTACGAGAACAAGATTTAGAGCAGCCGCGCACCCTGTAGCATTTAGCTGGAACTGGCCACTGGTGATTTAGACCCTCTCCGGCCCGGCCTGTGCTCCGGGGACTTCTGCGGGCTGGCGGCAGTCGGTGAAAAGCCTCCTGCGGATCCTCCCTGCGCTCACTAGAGAGCGTTTTGGTTCCTATGGTTTTCTCTCTCATTACTGAGACTTGGGGTCCTCCCTGGACCGTCCAGCTCCTCTCTGCCATCTGGTCCCAGGGGAAGCCGTCTCGAATGTCAGCACGGGGTCCTGGGTCTGCCCTGCCGCCTGAGGGACCTCGTCAGTCACAGACTCTCTCCACCAGTCTTCCCTTCGTGTTGGGTTGAAGTGTCCCAACGCCTCCTCTCCTTTCCTTCTGCGCAGTGAACAAGCTCCCCTCCCGCCTCCCGGCTCCCGTGCACAGGCCTGGTGGGGATAAGGTCTCCCTTAGGTGCACCGCCGGGACCTGGGGAAGGTGGACAGAGGGGCTGGTGATTCTTCTGCTACTTTGGCTGGTCTTTTTGCCACTGGGAAGCTCAGTGGGAGCCTCCCCCAGATCTTTTCCTGGGCCAGGGGCACCCACTCCAGCAGCCACTGCAGGTGTCAGCAGCTAATGGTTCACCCTTTCGGGAGAATCGCCTTTGGCCCTGGGAGCTGCCTCCCCTGGGGATGTCGGGGTGAGTGTGGAAGACAGAATCATAAAAGAGACTCCGGCCTCCCCAGAGCTGAGGGGCAGGGGGGCAGGGCAGCTGGGCTCAGAACCCAGAGTCCATCGCTGGCTCCCAGGACCTGCAGGGAAGCCGGGAAGGAAGGAGAAGGAGCCAGAATCCACCTTCCAGCCGAGGCTGCCACCAGCCCATCCTCGGTCCCTCGGCCTGGATCGCAGCCTGGCACATGCGCCTCAGCACGGGCTCTCCAGGGCGGCCCTGAGGAGTGGCAGGGAGAGGCTGCCTGGAGAGTGACCACCTCAGCACCACCTCAAGGGTCTGCATCTGCATCTGCATCTGCATCTGAGGTCACAGATGTGCTCACTGTGAGGCTGGAGAGTCATCTCACTGGAGGCAGGTATATGAGGTTCCAAAGTCAGCTTAAAGTGATGCTCCAAGAGGCAACCCCGCAACCCTGCAACCCTGCAACCCTGCAATTTTGGGAGAAGAACTGTGAGCACAACCATGGAGCAGCAGCTGAGCTCCCCACGGACCCGCAGCTGGAGGGCAGCTGGGCTCCTCCGTCCACCCCTGGGCCCTTGGAAAACGGGCACCCGGCCCTCATGCCTTCCCACAGCTAACGAGCTGCAGGCCCTGGGCGGGTTGGCTCTCCGGGCTGATTCCTCATCTGCAGGATGCGTGGCAGCCATCACGACAATGTCAGGGCCAGTCCAGCACTGACCGCCCCAGGGGCTGGCTCCGCCCGCCCTCCAGCCCCAGGCTGCACCCTCTCGCTGCCCACCAGCCCCGGCCTCGGGCCAGGGATGGAGAGTGCGGTGGGCTCGAGGCCCCTGCCCGGCCCCCACGCCGGGTCCCTGCGCCCCGCTGCGCTCCTTCCCCTGGGCTCGCCCCCTGCTCCATGTGCTGTGCAGCACTTGTCTGAGCGTCTGCAGCTGGGTGACACCTCTCCTCCAACCACCAGAGCACAGCGGCTGTGAAGGGAAATACAGTGCCCGGGGGACATCTGTTAACACAGTGCCAGCGAGGGACATCCGTTATGTCATTTGTCTGGACCGCGCTTCCCTTATTTTGGGAAAAGCCGGTCCCCTAACTTCATCCTGCACCTCAGGGGCGAGTCGCAGCTTCCTGAAGAGCCTCCAGCGCCCCCTCCACCGCTGGGTCCAGAGCAGGCACATGATCCTCGCCGGGCCAGCTGAGCCCTGCCCCAAGGCTCCCAGCTTGGCGCAGTCAGCTGGTCAGGACTCCCTGATATGACCCCAGGAGCAGCCACATCTGCAGCCACATGAAGGAAACCAGCAGAGAGGAAACAGCACCGTCAACCCTGCTTGCAGACGGCCTGAGACCCAGCGCAGCCACGGTTTGGCCCCAGCCCGCCCAC